TGGAGACGCGCTTGGTAGCCTCCAGCTCTGCTCTCCCGAACCACAACCCTAGACATCCACCCCCAACCATACTGAGGATTTAGGAGGCAAGGGAAAACTGGTGGGTAACAATAGCTACTGAAATGGAAGTAGCAGCTATCGTTTACCGCACCGCGCTTTATTCACTGTAGCCACTCCGGACTTGAGGAAACCACATAGAGGTGAACAGATGACGTGGAGATGAGGCATGAAGAAATGCACAGAAACATTAAGCAGGGTAGGTATCATGCGCCTTCCGGGTTGGGGTCCGAAAGACTCCACAACTGGCTGGTTGGAGGATATGGCAGCGAGCCGACAGCAGTGGTGTTCTTGTCGTTTCTTATCGAGCCAGAACCGTATGTATGCAGAGTTCGATCGTGCACTCTGCGTGTTAACCATAGAGGTTCACCATCTTCTCCCTTCCTCAAAGTAAATTCAATCCCTGATAATGAGCGTAGTCAGTAAGCACCGTACGACTTAACACAAGAAAGATTGTGTTGCATGTTCACTAAAAATGCTGTTATAAGAGCATAAAGTTAACTTTTCTTTTCTCGTTTAAGATCTCTCTGGATGGATCGATTTCTTCGAATCAGCTGGCGTTCCACCGACTGTGCGTAAAACCTATGCACAAATTTTTGTAGACCATAGAATCACTGATTCTGTGGTTGCCGATCTAGAAAAGGATCATTTGAAAGATATGGGGATTACTGTCGTCGGGGATATTATAGCAATCTTGAAGCAGTGTAAAAAGATTGGACATGAAGTACGTTCTCGGAAGTTTTACGTTCTTATTTACAACAGGACACTACTGCTTCCGTTGCGAAGGTTTCCTCCACAACAGTGATCACGGAATACCCCAAAAAGTCCGAACCACCTTCATCGACTCAGTCAACCGTTGTCTCATCCGGTGAGCTTTATTCCCACTTTGACGAAATATCGTTTCAGGTTCTCGAGCGGCTGGCCGACGCCGACATACTCCGGAGCTAAAAGGAAACTATATTGTAAAACCTCCTTCGGGTACCACCGCAAAAACTAGAAAAATACTAGCGTTGCTGAAACAAAGAGGTTTGTTTAATTCTCCCGATTGGTTTTATCAAATATATTAATATTCTCTCCGGTATGATATCGTCTTTATTTGTACAGGGGTTTTCATGGTCCTTGAACTTCAAAGAAACCAGTACCGTTATTCTTTTGAATAAGAATTACCAGTGTTTCTTATCGGTCACAATTCATTCACAATTTTCGAAGTAAATGTGACAAGTGTTTACAGGTTTGTTTCAGTATCTGTGACATGTGTCTGGATTGATTATTTCAGTTTAATGTTTACATATAAACGGTGACATTATCTAGGGGAATAGTAGGGTGCACGGTACTCCGGGAAAGTTGCTGGAGCAATATGTATTCCAATATATCTTGGACAAAGTGGAAACGCTTTGTTCTTATGCATCGATGGAAATATTTTACAAACACTATTTGGATACACTGAAGGAAGGCAAAATGAGCTGAATAAGACAGCAAACTGTCGTTTGCTTTTTCAGTTTGATAAACACTGATTCACTTGCTCAGCAAATCACTCGAAATTTAGGTACATAAATGCTACTATCTATTTGTTGTATTGCACATCTCTTCCGTTTGATAAGTAATTCCTAAAGAAAATATTACCAACAGCTTACTGTTTTCGCTGTGGATATTTTCAAAATATTGCACTAAAATGCAGTTGCTGAATATCCACTCTACAAGGTCTCTCATTGGGTGCACGGGGCTGAGGGCCGATCCCGAAAAGCGGACCGACAATCAACGCACCAGCGAACAACACTCCTAACCG